GCAATGTTTTGCACCTATTTAGTGTATAATTGGATTAAATTATTTAAAGAATAGTAATGTTAATTATTGAGAATCGTCACAAGACTAACTAAACACGCACTTATTCGTTAACCGGCTAATTAGCGTTGTTATGGCATCGAGACGACCGCACGGCGCCAAGTTTACGATAATACTGAATGTATATGTAAATTGATGTAGTGATACCAACTCCTAGAGAATTTTTCCCCCTAGAACTACCCAAAAACTCCTATTTTACTATATATAAAAGTTTTAGAGTAAAGTCCCCTAAAGTTTTTGCTGTACACTCGGTTTGAGGTACAGTATAAATCTGTTATAACGACATCGAAGGGACTACTCATATTTGGTCGTTAAAACAGATAGTCGTATTAATTCAGCCGGGACCTTTGATTTTGGTCAATATAACCGGTATGTTGTTCTAAACGATGTCGTCGTAAACGTTTTTGACTGTAATAACGTATATTCATCAGAAAATTATAAAAATTTTGTTTTTTAAATATTATAGCATTAATCAGCAAAATAATCTTGATTCCTCCTAAATTTTGGGGGAAAACACCCATGTTGGCATCACTGGGCTTTGACGCATTCGGCATTTCGCAGTGTTGCTATTTATTGAATTGAAAACATACTGCAGACTGCGACATTTGCTAGCTTTGGTATTTGCAAACAGTTTTTATTTATTCATGCATTTTTAATAACGCGTCCAATAATCTAAAACCCCCAGTAGAAACAGCAATTTCGTCTTAATTTCTTTGTTTTATTACCGCTCGAACCCACAGTTGCGACATCAATGCTGATATTGAGAAAATTACATCATAATTGTTTAAGCGTCCTGACGTTCCTGATCCTGATCAGGCGGTTTCCTTTTTCTGACCATATTAATAATTAATACCAAAACCAGGGCTGGCGCAACTCATTCTCAAGTACTATGGGTAGGATTCAGGGACGAAACTAGTAGTAGCTTTAGTTTAATGTGATTTGAACTTATTTATATAGCTTTTAACGCACTCTTCTGCCAATGTGGCGGTGTCACTTTGCACGTGGGCATACAACTCATGTTAATACTCCTTAAAACATATATGACAAATTATATCCCCTCTAAATTAGCCTCGTGAAATTTAAAGGATTCGTGGATAGTTGTAATTTAATTTTAGTAGAAAATAGACTAATGTTTTGTCAAGTGTTCCTATACGTTACTTCAAGTTATTGACATTTAAAGACTCAACTATCTAGACAACTTGTATAGTTTACTACACGCTTTATATTTGTTATTCCGTTTATTTCCAATACTGCACGAAGTATTTTCCAAACGATTTTTTTTCTATTGCCATAGCTCCTCTATATTACGTCTTCTTTGTGTTCAGTATTATCAATATACAAAACTTTTACACTAAATTGGGAGTTTTTATGAGATGGCAACATTAACACCTGTAGTTTGACCAATGACCGTTGAACGATTACCGTCAAGGTTAATAAACATATTTTGTTTGTTTCATCCGAACATTTAAAACTCCACTAACAAGCCCCGTCTTTGCTCACGTACGTAACTTAATGTCCAATAACCCCTAGTTGGGGCACAGGGCGTCCACAGTAAGTATCTATCGCATTCAGACTTGAACCTCACTCCAAGTCTTTCCGGCTCTCTTTGCCTCATCTGCATCTGTACGACGGTTCCAATAGGCGCCTGTTTGGGGATACAATTGGATTCTCTTCGACGTGTGACTTGCTTGCTTACATAAATAATATAAACGCGAATTTATTATATTATTTACATAACTCGTCGATTAATAATTATGGTCGAGGATTTGCCATATATTTTGCATTAATTTACATTTTTTATCTCCGATTCAAACTTTGTTCACATAATACAAAGGAATTTAGAAAAAGAAGAAAACAGACAGATAAAGCAGGGATTTCGCATATGTCTACGACTCCCACAGTCATATTGAAAGTTACTGGCGCCTCCAGGCTATAGGAACTTAGGGGGCGTCCATAAATTACGTGAGGTGTTTTTTTTAAATTTTCTGTACCTCCCTCCCCCCCTGGTGAGATGTCATGAGATTTTATTCAACCCCCTCCCCCACCCCCAATCTCACGTGAGATTTTTCAAAATGTGGGTTTACGTAAACGCGTTGGATTGTTATTGAAAAAAGAAAAAAAAAAATTGCTTCGTGCTTTTATTTACAACTAAAACAAAATAACTAATAAGTGAAATGTTGAGCGTTTAGATATGGAGTTAGCGGGAAGTTGCAGAGATGGCCTTTAGGGCCAACCGTTTTCCTAAATTTTTTTTTTTCAATCAGAAAAAAAAATGCGTTATTTTTGCCGAGACCCCCTCTCTCCAAGTAAGATTAAATGAGATTTGACTCGACCCCCTCCCCCCCTTAAACACCTCACGTAATTTATGTACGCCCCCTTACCGCTGATGTCTAGATTTTGCATTCACTTGGAAACACTGATAGGGTGGGTGATTTCGGTATCCCATAGCTAGCCGTCGCAGTTTAGTAGCTTTCACGACGCGACCTTGCGTGTGTGGTTAGTGGGTTAAAAACGTATTTATTAAAGCCACTTCCATTCCACTATTTACAAATCAAGATCTATCAATCTATGAACCTATGAACGTCAAAAAAGAATTATGATTCTATTTTTACATTTAATAGAAGAACTGGCAATAAACTCTCCGCTACTCTTTTTAATCGCCAAGTTTTTTGTTTTACACAATGCTTGTAATGAGCTGCAACCATGACACCATGTTCCACATGACATCTTAAGTAGTAATAGTTAATTATTAATAATTAAATGAATAAAACAAAGATTTGTCCTCTATCAGACGGAGGCATGGTGAAATAGGAGCACGCACTTACATTCTCGTGGGAACAACACGCAAATACATATTCGAAATAACTAACATCACCGCATACAAGAATTCAATTCCGACCAGTCACAGAGCGAAGCGTCAATCTGTCGTCAAAGCGGACTAGCGAATTTGCAGAGACACGCCGCAAGACGTCTACTGATATGGCTCTCACTTTTGTCGTTATTTTGGTCTTCAACTGATCCAAATTCGTAAGAGGGGTATCATAAACTCTTGCTTTGAGATAGCCCCATTAAAAAACGTCAGCTGGGGTTAAGTCGGGCTTATGATTTTTCCCGGAAACAACGCTTTTAGTGCGTATGGAGACCCTAGCTGTGTGCAGTGTGGGCTATTAGATAGTTAGTCTATGTTAGTTTTTGAAGTGAAAATTATTTAGGCGCATGAGGGTAAAATTTTTACGGAACGTCACGAAGATGTGCAGCGTTTCTGTCTAAGAAAAGGTAGACAGCGATTGAGATCGATTGAGAGAGAGTGAGAAGGGCGAATTATATTATAGAAATAATATTTTTGAAATTAGAATTTCGTAAATAGTCCGGTCAATTTAAACATTCGAAGTTACATAAAGTCCCAACAAGCTGAATTTCTGTGAAATTCTTCAAAACATAATTATAAACAATGTCTAGAAGTTCCCCATCATTCCCGTGTAAGGAAAAATTTTTATTCAAAGTCAAAGGTCAAAAAAATGAGTTTTTCGCGATTTTCAGCAATACGGTAAGTTTTATCATAAAAGTACCTCAGACAAAAATTGTAGACCATAAAATTATCTTTAAAAAATGTATATTTTTTTTCTTACGAGCCACCGTTTCTGAGATATAACGATTCAAAAAGTTATAAAAGTTGTTATCGTCATAATATGCACACGTTTCCACGCCACCTATGAGGTAGTGTACTTAGCGCGTTTTTTTTAACGTGGTTTCCCCAGTACGGGTACGGTAGTAACGGGTCAGTTGTGATCCTGTTTAATGTAAAACTATTGCAAAATAACGGAAATTTTCAAAGATTGGGAAAGATAAAAGCGATGTAAATTAAAAAAAAGTGTTGAAGTTTATTCGTCTTATTCGTAAGTTTCAAATTCTTGTTCTTCTTCTCCTGCTTCTTCATTTTGGATGCAAGTAAATTGCGTCAATAGCGATGTATCGCATGATACTTCGTCGGAGTCAAACGAATCCTCCATTGTTTGTGATTCAATATTAGAGCACGACCGACCTTGACAATTTGTGCATGCCAAAGAACAAGACAGTCCGACTTTTTTGCAACCACATTTAGCACCGCATCCCTTTTTGCAGTTGCAAAAAATAGTGTTCAGCAGTTTTTCCGGCGCAGGTGGAAGTAAAGTTTGAACTGGCTCTAATATATTGTTGACCAACTTCCAACCCCAGTCTGTAGGGTGTAGCTGATAACCAAGCCACACTTGAACTTGGTAATATACTCGAAAAATATGTTGGTGAGCAGCAACTAAGGTTGGAGGAAGACAAGCTAATTGAACTTGTTTTTTATTTTTAGTATTTTTAACGAAACATGCATATCGATTTTTTTAGAAGCTCCGTACATAGAAAGAAGAAAGCGGATGCCGTTGGTAATAACTTCTTGTTGCGTTGAATTACTCTTTTTAAAACATGCACAACATGCACATAGAATTAAATCTTGTTTTTCAAACATTTTGAAAACTGCTGTTTTACCCCTCCTGTAAAATGCTGGTGTCGTATCACAGCCAGTTATTGCGTGTAAAAATAGTACATGATCTTGACACTTTACAAAAGTAAATAAACTTTTTGATGAATATATATCTGATTGATGAGCTTTTGGCTGAGCTTTTCCTGGTTTTAAGAAAAAAATAGTTTTTTCAGTTGGCGTTCGAGCAGTGAGTAATACAAGTAAGTCATCTTCACCAACAACAATAGTTGTATTTGTCAAATTGAATTGCTCTATTGCTGTTTCAATAATCAATACATCAGCATCATTATTAGCTTGTTTTACCAATATATTTTCAGCCGTAAACTTTTCTTTCAACATTGAAATGAACCGAGACTTGTTGTGGGTATTTGTAAGAAATTTCTGTTGACTGTCATAAGTTCATCAAATAAAATATCAGAAGATGAAGATGTTGCTAAAGTTCGACGACGTTGTTCTGCAGGTTTGATATTTCTCGTGCAATCATCATAGCCATCAAATACGACTGTAACTCTGGAACCAAAATGACTACGTACATATTGAACGTATTTATCTAAGATAACGTTGAATGTTTCTTCGCTATCCCAATAGCCTTCAATACTTCATTATCAACTTGGGTCTCAGGCCGTCCACGGGGCTTGTTCTGCAGGTCGAAATTTCCAGAACGAAAACGTTGGAACCAAAAACGAACTGTGTTTTCTTTTGCAACATGACCGCCATACACATCATTCACCCTTCGAGTCGTTTCCGCAGCACTAGTGCCACGGCGGAACTCGTACTCGTAAATAATGCGATACTTTAAGTTTTCCATTTTGTAAAATGAGTGACGCAAACAGAAAAAAACAAATGAATGACGGTCATCGAAGCACAAATACATGAGTAAATAGCTGTACAAATTTGAATTTGGAATTCCTTACCAAAGAGGAGAACGTCGTGATTAAAGTGGCCAGTACGAAATACGCCAATTTCATATGTAAGGACCTAATATATAACTAGCTGACCCGGCAAACGTTGTTTTACCATGTATATTATTTCTACAACATAGGAGACCGAAGAGCTGGAAGCTACCTCTGACAGAGAATTAGTCTAGCTATTCAAAGGGTTAACGCTGCCAGTATCTTCGGAACCTTGCCTAAAGGGACTCCTTTTAATTATATATTTTAGTTATTATATTTTAAGGTTAGTTATTGTTTTTATTGTTCTATTTTTGTATTTATAAGCTAGGTTAAATTATAAATTTAACCTAGCTTATAAAATTAATTAAAATTATAAATTTAACCTAGCTTATAAAATTAATTAAAATTATAAATTTAACCTAGCTTATAAAATTAATTAAAATTATAAATTTAACCTAGCTTATAAATACAAAAGAATTTTGGGAGGGGGGGGGGTCCTTTTTTAAAACCTTACGATGCGGGGCGGGGATTGAATTACGCGTTATTGTTAATATTATTTTCTACTTACACCACTTAATAGTAACTAAACCGAAACCTCATGATTTGCAGCCGAACATGCTAATCACTGAGCTAAACTAATTCAAAACAGGTAACATCGTTACTTGGATACAATATCCAAATTGGTCATCATATCGAATTTCACCTGTCACCTGTGGCCTTGGCCTTGATTACATAATAGACACGAAACATTTAATTAACTAGCGGCCTGTCCCGGCTTCGCACGGGTGGACTTTTTTTTTAATTTGTAGATGTTCTTTAATATTGTGGAACATTTTTTTGTTCTATCTATCTATCTATCATCAATAGTTTTCGCAACGCATGCATTATATATATAGGCATTTTTTTTATACCTTGGAGATAGTGACACAAAATAGTGGGTCATTTGTACCAGTATGGCGGTTCTTCAGGGGTCTTATTACGAAATGAAAAAAAGAATTTTGATGGTCATAGCGCTGGTACCGGCGGCCCAATTGCGTGGGCGTTAGTCGAACTCGTCGGATTAATAACGACTTTCAAATGATTTGTTCCTTAAAAATTCTAGTATTTTCCGATAGTCCATAAAAATTAAGAGGCGGCAGTGTCATGCCATACTTCTCCGGTGTGACTTACAGCCCGTCATACCGACGCGAATGCGTTGATTTAAAAAAATCAACCATTTTCAATTCAAAATTTGGAATCACGTTCAAACTCTTTATAACGTAATTCGTTATAACAAAAAACTCTGTATTTTAGTTTAACACGTAACCCTTACATTAATTCACTCTTTATAACGCAACCGTCAATCTCTATTACGAAGAAATATTTTCATATTTAGACATCAACAACATACTTAAGTGTAATTGTTTTTATAATCAGCTTACAATACTAACCTTTTGAGGTGCCGAAATTTCTAAGAAAGACACCTGAGGTTATAAACAGCCGTCTCGCGTTTGTTATTGTTAATTGCATTAACACGTGTGCCATTATTCTTAGATTACATTGCCTGTAGGAAATTTTAGGTATAACACCGAATATCGTTATAAAGAGTAAACTCTTTATAACGATATTCGGTGTTGTAATTACATCTAACTTACCTCTAGCATTTCGTAGGACGTTCGCCGCATGCCTATGCCGGGATCGTTCAGCTAAGGTCAATGCTGTATCTCCAGCACCTGTTAATGCTGTAATATCGGCACCTGCTGATATTAACACTGTGACATTTTCAGCATGACCGCATTCAGCCGCGATATGCAATGGTGTCTGAAATTAATACTTGATGTTATTATTTTTAAATCCCAGACAGACACGCTTGATCATGCCTTTAAATCTATATATTAATTATCTGTATTGTATAAATTATAAACGCAAATGTTTGTAAGTATGTATGGATGTTTGTTACTCTTTCACGTATAAACTACTGAGTGGATTTTAATGAAACTTTACAATAATATAGTTTATACATCAGAATAACACATAGGCTACAATTTATAAAGATATTGTGTGAGTTGTCCAAAATATCAAGTAGGAAAAAATCTACCATCTGCGAGCTATTCTGGCGTGCTCTGCCAAAACCGCTAGAGTTACACATATGTAATGTATGATGGAAATGTTTATCGTAAATAGTTCTACAAAAAAGCCCACCACAGTATATATGTATATCTTATGTGTAAGCCATTATAGCCAAAATAGTGAACCATAAGTACAATAAAACTTGATTATTTATTTCAAATGCACATTTGGTAGTAATAAATTGATTCCTAAATGTGACGACTCATTGGTCTAGTGGTTAGTACCCCTGACTGCGAATCCATGGGTCCCGGGTTGGATCCCCGGCTGAGACAAACATCGATGTGATGAGCATTTGGTGTTGTGCTTAGGTCTTGGGTGTTTAAATATGTATTTATATGTCTATCTATCTATAATATGTATGTATATCCGTTGCCTAGTACCCATAACACAAGCTTCACCAGCTTAGCATGGGGCTAGGTCAATTGGTGTGAATTGTCTTTTATTATTTTTATTATTATTATTAAATGAAAATAGATACTTTTATCGCTTCTGGGTAGATAAAATATGTCTTTCACGCTTCATCATTTTCATATGTATTATTTTAATCCTGCGCACAGCGCAGACGAAGTCGCGGGCACCAGGTAGTCTGTATATTTATCTGTCTTTTTTTATCACAGCAAATTCACAATGTGACAGAAAGGTACGAAAGAGTTTAGTTACAATAATACTATTTCTACATGAATAAAGTTATTTTGACTTTGAGTTTAACTACTGCCTCTGCTGCGAATTCTAGATCCACCCTTGGTCGGTAGTGTTTAGTTTTGACGGATTCTAATTAAATAGGCGGCCATTAAGTTACCTTGCCACCCGTGACATCATCAGACTTAGCATTCACATCTGCCCCACCAGCGCACAGCGCTGACAAACAGCTACTGCGTTCAGCGAGGGCAGCTGCATGAAGTGCACTACGATTATGTTGATCTCTCGCATCGACCTCGGCCCCAGTAGCTATCAACTCTTGGAGCAGTTCCAAGTTGTCCCACAATGCAGCCTGTTAAGTTTCATTAGTATTAGATTTATGTCAAGGTCAAGCGAGTTGAAGACGAACAGACGTCCTATATTTAATTGATGTGTTATTAAGACAATTAGGGGATAGGGCCTTTGGGCCTAAAGCGGGCTAGTTCACTCACGTCATTCTTCCTTCACTAAGTGTTTGTCGCGCACAGAAAATAATTAATCCATTGGTGAACAGACGGGGTTAATACACATAAACTTGCTCTTAAATACTTATTTATAATATACTAGACTCCCTTCACATGGCTGGGAATTTATTTTGGAAATTGGTACAGTACTTTTTGAGTTTATTTTGTTACTATGATACAACTCATACCTCTTTATAATATCAGTTTAGATATATACATAAATCTCCATAGTAATAACTGAAATATTATTTTTAAATAAGAAAATATAAAACATATACTAATAAAAATGTACATGAACCAATAATTAATGACATTTATTATTTAACTACAACTTATGATAACTAGAATAAAATTAAATTCTTTTTAATTGTAAAACTTGTTAGAACATGCATATGAGTTGGTTTGAAAACTAAATAAGTATGTATTGGTTTAAAGTTCTAATAAAACCTTGCTCCTCTAAGTTATACTATAACATGGATACAAGTAAACACTTAGCTACTCTACTAGAGAATATGTAAAATAATTACATGCAATTTTTGAAGTGAAACTTCTTTATCGGGGTTGGAAAAAAATTTAGTGTAACATTTTTGAGTTACGCGTCACATTTCTTCGTTACGCGCCATGTTGCTTTTTGAAGTCAAACTTCTTTATCGGCGTTAAAATATGACATATAGTATGTTTTTGACTTTGAAGTTTGACAACGGATTACATTTTCGACTTGAAATTTGCTAATCGCAATTTGCAGCAATTAATTTGTAAATTGTATGCTAGGCAGTGCATCAAAATTTACTGTGTTTAAAAATAGTTTCTAATAAGGTCATAAAGAAGTTTCACTTCTTACGTGTGTACACCTAGTACACGCACACATTTTTGTTCTATAACATTTCCTTCACTTTGCCTAGCCAAGTAAATTAATAAGCACAAGCCTATCTTTATATTATATATAATAGTACTATATCTCATTATTTTATACAATTATGTATGCGACAACTTCTGAACTGCATAAAGAATTACTTGAAATATAAAATTTAAACTATTATACCAATACTAAGTCATTGTGGGTATGTATCCGTAACAAGAATTAATGCTAAGTCTGACTTCCATGTCAAAAATGTAATTAATTCTGACTAACAGGATTCAACAATTGCTCTAAGTCTCATTTGTGTATACCAATTACATTCCTAGTATTGCTTTAACAGACATTTATATTATTCTAAGTCAGACTTAAATTTTACAAACTATTACTATTGATATTTTTAAGTTTGTTTGCCATTTAAATTTTCTAACTGCATTTTATTATAACAATATGTTTCATAAAGTCATGACATTACTACAAAGGCCTATTGTATTTTTCAAATGAATCTACCTATATATGATTCAACAATAGCGTAAATAAATGACAATACCGTATGATTCAGTCAAATTGCGAAAGAAGTCCCTTCCCACTTATTTTTTAACACTTCAAAATCACGCATAACGATTGTTGATTATATGATTAAAATCTAATATTATTCAACATTACCTGATGTAGGAGCCGACCTTGGAAGTTCTCTTCATCTGGGGAAAGGTCCATTTTGTACTTTTAACACAAAACTTTAATTTTTAAGTCATTTTTTCGCGACTATAAACCGCTCAAGCGTTGCAAACATACAATATACGATAACTGAGTAGAACAACGGATTATAGAAATTAACCAAATATAGATTAATTTAACTACCGTAAATGTATTTGATTAAAGAGTAATTAATGCTTAAAAAGTAGGTGTAAATAAAATATTTATTAAATATGTTCCAAAATATATTCGAAAGATCGATTTGAATGGAATACATGTCAAACTAAACAGCAAACTTCAAACATAATAAGTCATCTGTCAAGTAATATTAATTTAATAACGTTATAATGTAATGGTAACAATATTAATAAAATTAAACTTATAAACATAAACTAATAATAATAAAATAATATACATTGAAATAAATAACGAAACTTAACATAAACTAAAATATATCATTAAAAGGTCCCTTTAGGCAGGTTCCGAGATATGGCAGCGTCCCCCTTTGAATTGCTAGACTAATAAGTCATCTGTCAAGTATCTAGTCTGTGAAAACTGACAAAATTATATATTGCAATTTTATGATTTAGCATTCTGAAAAGGTGGGAGCTTGTAGTTTTTTGTTTATCAGAATGCCAAATCATAAAATGACTGCTTTACGACTGATTTGAGAGCGATCGCCCATGCGAAAACCGCTGTGTGAGTTCGCAGGGCTGTAATTGGAAAACAGGGTATACCTCAAATGTCATGACAGTTCTTTTTCGACTCAGGCACTAGTATTTACCAGGATATTGTAAGAATATATATTGTATGCTGGAAAGTGTAAATTGTAAAGACTGCTTACTCTTATTAAACATTTCCGCTGTACAAAACATTCATGCGAAATATATGAGATATTAAAGATTTTTTAATGCAAATATATATTATGTAAGCTCTTTTTGCTAGATTTTAAGAAAGGTTTTTTTATATTTGTATAAGATATACGAACGAAACGGTATACGATGTAAGTTTTGACCCTGATATATTAAATAAAAACATCTTATATTATGTTAGTTTTTATTATTTAATCTAAAATAGTCCGGGTTGGGTGTTAATAGTCCCACTAACTCTTACCTACTTTATATCAATCTAATTCAACACCTTAAATATTTGATTACCATACAAATTTTCAGCTATGCGTAAGAGTTTTGTTTGATATTTTATTATTTAATGACGGCACTATAAAATTATAGCACGAAAGAAAATAAACAAAAGAATATTGTGATAATTGATATTTGACACTGGCTTATGAATTGAATGAATTGACATATGTGATATGACATTAACAGTTTACAGTTTACACTAGCAAAAGTTTGTGTTGTAAGGTTATGTTATGAATCGAATTATTGTCGTAACAAAATATTAAAATATTGACCTCAAAAAAGTTAACTAACTTATTATTTCATAACTATCAATATGCCACCCCAAGAATGTAATTCGCCAGATTTGGATGAGAAGAGTATTGAAAACATTGTGAAATTCGTATCTGATATACGGACAGGGTAAAACATTCTAATATATATCCTGTTTTAAACTCATATATTCCAACTTTTACAAAGATGCATAGCATCAGATAGCACCTTGTTTTATTATAAAGTAATATTCGTAAGTTGCAGATATTTATATCTACAGAAGTATAAGAGATAATAGTTGTTGATGTGTTAATTTTTTGTTGATCATCTCTATTTATTATAGGAAGCTGCAAGGATCCAATAAGATTGCTGTAGCCACAGTTTCTCTTCTAGAGCAGATCATCACAGATGCATCAAATACTAGTGTTTTGTAAGTTACACAGTAATAGTAAGTTATAGCAATAATATAATAAATAGTATTATAAAATTAATCAAATCCTACTTTGTAAACGTAAGTATACCTACTATGTCGTGTATTCTCTGCAAGTATTTGTATGTGTTTTGTCAGTGTGCATTTTGTATATTACTTGCTTATGTAGTGAAAAATTCCTAAATCTGTCAGGCCAAAATTATCATTAAAAAACGCCCATGTACAGGTAATATGGTACCTGTGGATAGAAGGCGTCATAGCGGTTAGAAAAATATATTTAGTAAAAGTCCCTTGTTTTTCCTAATAACTTTTTTACATCATGTTAGATAAATTTTTGAAAAACTTAGGAATTTATTATTATATCTTGAATGTCCCAAAAACCATGGCATTTTTACTAAACATATCTTCTAAACCTCTACAGCATACTCTACCTTCAGGTACCATATTATCCATTCATTAAGCCGCCCTCTGCAAATTAAAAACTTATTTAAAATGCAATCAAACTATCTTTGACTTTATTACCATGAAATTAGGTTATACTGCAACCTTAGAGCTCAATTGCCAGCTTTATCAAAATTACTGCTGATTAATGCCGCCCATTAAATAACTTCTTTACTCCCTAACCCCACCTACATTACATAATATTTGTGGTAAAGCCATAGTGAAATATACCAGCAAAGGGTAGCTAATGTCCAAGATACAAGAGATATGCCTTGACTCTTACAATATAAAGCTACTAGGCATTGCTCACTACAATGATGTGTGTAATATTTTTTAATTTGTTTTTTGATTCTTCATAGATGTCTTGTAAACGCAGTACGGGGTACTGGGCGTCGCATAACAAAGGCATTACCGCAGGAGCTTATTGCTGCAAATATGGTGCGGCGCGTATTGCGAGCGATACGCGACGAGCAGAGAGCATTGGCTAATCAGGTATAAAATTAGTCTTGCACCCATTGTTTACATTATGGCCATAAGTCTGAATCCCTCTTCCAATCGGAATTATTTTTAATATTATGAAGTTTAATCATGTGTTTATTCTGCAACAAACTATTACTAATAAAATAAACTTCTTTTACAGAGTAGCGAATACTCAGGTGATTCCCTACAGCGTTTGGTATTAGCAGCACCAAGTCGCAGAGCAACTTTACCTTCTAATCACGATCTGAGGGAGCCTATACGAGATCATATAGCAGAGGTACCTTAAATAATATGTTAGTAAAGAGCTGACCAATGCAAAAAATTACCAAACAAATGTAAATTACACCACTTTTTACTTAATTTGAATATCATGTCACTTCTCAAAGTCTTCAACAAATTAATACTATGTTGAATATCTATTTCAGTTTTTAGCATAAAATCAAGCGCTAAGTATAAGCCCCCTAGGTCAATACACGCTTCCATAACTATGTCACATGATCTGTGTCAAGCTATTTTCATGGATACAGTATTAATTAAAATAATAGACAACTCATTGGTCTAGTGGTTAGTACCCCTGACTGCGAATCCATGGTTCCCGGGTTCGATCCCCGGCTGAGACCAACATCAATGTGATGAGCATTTGGTGTTGTGCTTAGGTCTTGGGTGTTTAAATATGTATTTATATGTCTATCTATCTATAATATACACAAGCTTCACCAGCTTAGCATGGGACTAGGTCAATTGGTGTGAATTGTCTTTAAAAAAAAAAAATGTTGTCTTAGTGTTTGTGGTGACACTTCTAAAACAAAACAAAAATTGAATAAAGCTAAAGTTTTATGTTAAACCACTGGTGATACGGGTGACCGCATCCAAGAAAACGAAATCACTCTACTGTTAAATGAATGATGGCATCATAGTATTAGTTGTTAATAGCAAGTAATCTACATGAACTAACAATTATCATTTTGTGTAAATTGCCTTATAAATAAATTCCCAATACCAAATTTTTATATAGATGGATTTTTGATAGATTTAAAATAAAACTTGATAAAGTTTTACCCTTTCATCAACCCTGAAAGCTATAACAGCTTCAAAAGTTCTAAGCATTCAACATAAGACCCACGTATACTGGCAAGAAAGGAGTTGCCAAAGTGATATTATCTAACAGTCCTTTCTATTAGTACAATTGCCATAAAAATTCTACCTCACATTAAAGTATTGAACATCGGGTGAGCCCTGACAACCCTCAAACACAGAGACAAATTACTTAAATGTTCTCACCAATTTCAGCTACTTGGAGAATTGGAAGCAAGTACATCCTCAATATGTGGACAAGCAAAGGAACACATACATGCAGATGAGGTGATATTGACATATGGAGCAAGCAGTTTAGTTGAGAAATTTCTTAAATCATCAGGAACCAATAAAATGAAGATATTGCTGGTTGAGGGACCGAAGCACGCTGAGGTGAGGAGAGGCTATTCTGAATCTATTTTATTGAACTAATAAACTACGAACTATCGAACAAATAAAAGTACTATTTAAAGGTTAGCCTAAAGCTTCTCCAGGTAATGATGAATGAATTTTACCTGAGGGTAGTATAGTCATCACACAGTATGAAAGTTTTCAGTGATAGTAACGGATTTCTGAATAGTTTTATGTAATTTTGTTTATAATATGTTCTTAGATCAATTCTTATATTAAAAAGTTTCGAAGAATAGTAAATAAGGAATTAAATAAATATCTTTCCATAAGTAAACCTGAAACTTCAGTATATTAAATATTAGAATGAGGCTAACAATTTTCTTTTTAACTTGATTACATTGAAATTATACCACTTGTATTACATTCCATGAATTATTAAATATATTTCCAGATAAATATATTTATTCTCTCTCTCTCTCAATTTAGTATGGAGCATTCAAATCCCTTAATACATGATTATATATGAAATCATACCAATTTCTGCGGCACTTCAATTACCAGCTCTATTGCTGGTAAACTCTGTTTTATTGATATATTTTTATACCTAATTAATTATTTGTTACATGACTCTAGTCCTTCAGTTGGAATATTTTTTTATATTGTTGACAACATCTATAAATCCCAACGGGTAAATATCTTTTAAATTAAAATATATGTTTTCAGAGTGCCGCAATGGCAGTCAGGTTAAGTACGCAGGGTGTTAATGTGACCCTTGTCAATGGTGCCGCTGTAGGTGCCCTAATGCCAAGAGTGAACAAGGTAAAATATTAATTTATTGTGCAATATTAAATTACTTTTATGCTTGACTTAAAAGATTAGGGACGTAGCTAAAAAATGGATTATTGACATGACATTGACAGTTGACGTTTGTTTAGCTGTTTGTGTTTATTAAGTATTTTTAAAAGTTCCTAATAGCGTAAGGTATTATCAAAATTGTTATTCAAAATTACCGTTTCTTTACCATGGAATAACAAGAAATTATTGTTTTTGACATATTTAACACTTTCTTTTTCACAATCTTTTTCCAAGATATATTATATGCAATGGTGAGTTCCAATTCTTAAAAGCCGGCAATGCACTCATCATTTAATATCAGATGAGCCTGCCCCTTTACTCCGATGCATTAAAATAAGCTTCTTCGCGTTTATATTCGTTAAAGAAGCTTTAAATTGTACTCGAAGCAATAGCGTAAATGTCAGGTCCCACTGTCATTATATGTCACAGTCAGTACGTCAAAGTCAACGTCAATTCAGTTCAAACCCGTTTCTAGTTTATTTGATTGTCTAAGGGGGGGGGTGTTTTTTATGGCGCCCTTAGACTTTGCTCTGACTTAACCTATCGAGCTAAGACACAGTCGGTATTTATAGAGCAAACTAAAAAAATCTTTTCTTTGTGTTGGCTTAGCTTAATCTCAAGTCCACGAAATCGACGACTTACCCAAACTTCGCTTAAGCCTACAAAATAATGGCCCAAAATGCTTTACCATCATCTTTCTGGACTTTTTATTTTTGTCTTTTTAATGAACGGTGTTGCCAATTTTGTATCGGAGTTCCAAAGAATTTGGGAAAAATAGAATTTGAATTCAAAGAAATTATAAATGATCTTGATAAATACCTATGAAATGCATGAAATAAAATAATTACACATTATTGTATTTATTGTTGTTTATTTATATTATTTATGTAATTGTCAACCCCATTTTTGGAAATCTTTAAAATAACTGGTGTAATTTTGTATGTCACCTGGCAGCCCCTGTGCAATTATATGGATATTATAGTGGCAACGAAATTCAAACTATAACCTAACCAAAACATTGCGATCCGTTCTACGTAATAAAATTATTGTCATCTTTAAATAATTAATACATTTTCTAAAGGTTACTCGTAAATTTATATTATTGCAATTATGCAGTAGTTATTACATAAATAACAATCAATGAAGATATATTCCGTTTTAGATTTTTAAATATTTGTTATTGTTAACTTTTTTAAAGGATAATAAACAAAGTATTGCATGAAATGAAACATCAATTTGTATTTTGACATTTCTGTCTTATTGGGCTTAGCTTAATCTCACCCCTTAAAATGTCTATAAATACGAAACATAGTAACCTTATGTACACTAAGCAAAGTTTTTCGTAAGTAAGTCTGCAAAGTCCAAGTCGCACTATAGTCCACCCTAAGTAATTATTACGATCAACCAGTGTAATTGGTCCATTTTAGCTAAATTATGTGTCTCTTTTAATCACAGCTAAAACACAATTTGACAGAAAGAGACAAAAGAGTGCAATAAGCCCAAATTAGTTATTATGAATATGGTGTTTCCAGGTTGTCATTGGTGTCCGTAGTACCCTAGCTGGTGGAGCTGTTTTGGGTGATGGTGGACTTCTAGCTGTGACCACAGCTGCTAGACATTACAGCGTGCCTGTAAGTTAATAATACTTGTTAGCTTTTAATATTTATTTAATTAAATTCTAAACATTTTTATGAAACATATTCTTAAGAATCTTGCTACAAGTGCGCATGTGCAATAGTTGCTCATTTAACTCATTCGGTTGTTTACGATTTGACTCGAATTCTCCCCGAAGTGGGATGGTCGAGTCGGAGTAGGGAATAGATTATAAAAGAAGTTGAGACACAAGCGCACGGGCATACCCCTTCCCGACATAAAACGCTCGTAGGAGGCCCCGATACACACTAACGTATCTGGGCATCCAATTACCGGTAGCTAACAATAAATTAAAAGCCGGGCGGCCAATAACAATAATCAAAATCAGATAAGGGTAAAAAACCGCCTTCACCGGGGAAGGCGAGTATCTTTACTTCGTACTTCGCTCACTCCAGTGAGCTTCCGTCCTGCCCTTCAGGCGATTGACCACCCCGCGACGGCCCAAGCCGAGGTTCGAGTCTCACAGGAGACGCCCTTGCGCTAGTCGCGGGAAAAACGCCCATTCAGGCCGAGCTGAGCTGTAAAGGCCCTTAAGGCCAACAGCGAGATTCCTTACAAAAAAAAGCGCTCGGGCAATTCCTTTGTTCTAGTTTGAAGTACAGTTTATGTAAAGTCAGTGAAGTGAATTATTGTGAATCAAGTCATTATTGCAGTGTTTAATTTCCTACCCTAAGAACTAGATCAACAAGCCCTTACAGTTTTTTTAAAGACAATTCACACCAATTGACCTAGTCCCATGCTAAGCTGGTGAAGCTTGTGTTATGGGTACTAGGCAACGGATATACATACATATTATAGATAGATAGACATATAAATACATATTTAAACACCCAAGACCTAAGCACAACACCAAATCGATCACATCGATGTTTGTCTCAGCGGGATCGAACCCGGGACCCATGGATTCGCAGTCAGGGGTACCACTAGACCAATGAGCCGTCGAAGTAATGTTAGTAATAAAATTGTAAGAGCGAGATAGCCTATTCACTGGACCATTCAAAGTAGAAGATACGCGAGCAGTAGGTTCATATAGAAGACTTTTAGTTCTAGAAAATAGGATCAACAAAGAAAGGAAAATTTTAGTTAGTATGAGTATTAAAGTTAAATGTTTAATACAAATTGATACCAAGTAGTTTCAGTTAGTGCAGTAGTAATAGTTTGGGAGAAAGTTTTAAGGATTTAATTATATTGAGTTAGTTAATATTACAATTCTGATTTTTTTTCAGGTGATAGCATTGTCACCTCTATACAAACTGTCACCGCTGCACTCGTGTGACCACACCCACTTCAACGCCCTTTCGCCTCCATACACCGCGCTTCCGTATATGTGAGTTAAGGCTTCAAATACCATACCATACTTATATGAAATTTTTTACTACTACCCCTAAGTGATAAGGGGTGTCCATTTTATTTTTATTTTTTGGACGAAATTTTAATTTTTTTATGATACAGCACACAAAAGCATACAACCCCTAATTTTAACCCCTCTACGATCAACCCCTATTTTTTATTACTGTAGAGTTATTTTTATTGAATTAAAAAAATGTTTCCTAATAATATACATGGCATTGCCCCATTGTCATATTGCTATATGTAGTCGGAATTTAAATAAAGCAATTATTCAATTTTAAAAAAATCAGTGGCGCTTAAACATTTTTATATCAGGGCCTCAGATTTCTGAATCTGTTTCATGATCATTGGTCAATATAAAAGGCAAGTAGGTGATCAGCCTCCTGTGCCTGACACACGCCGTTGTTTATTTCTAAGGCAAGCCGGTTTCCTCACGATGTTTTCCTTCACCGTTCGAGCGCATTTAAGCGCACATAGAAAGAAAGTCCATTGGTGCACAGCCGGGATCGAACCTACGACCTCAGGTATGAGTCGCACGCTGAAGCCACTAGGCCAACACTGCTCCTTTATCATTCAATTATAACTTCGAATATGTCCGCCGATCCATTTTACCTTATTAAATTTTGATGAGGTGTCGAATGTGATCTATTGATCCTATTAAAAAATTACCCGTCCCTTAATGCCAGGGATTTATAATTCTTACTTTCTCCGCTGACTCTGCGACCCAAAAAGTGTCTTTGCCTCCGTGATGACAATCTACCTGTCCAAACTCCCAAGTGAAATTAGAGAATTATCACTAAATCCATACAAAGCCCTCGTTAAACATAAATTAATCAAGCTTTTTATAAATTCGACGATTATTTAAATGATCCTAATCCATGGGATTGATTTTCTCCAGTTCAAAAGCGATTAAAAAGAGTGGCAGAGAGTTTCTTGCCCGCTCTACGCCCTTGACTTGCGAACTGGTAGTAAATGTAAAGTTAGAATTAATTTAACATATTTTCTGACATTCATAAGTGTACTTGTTTACCTAAATGAATAAAGTTATTTTGAGTTTGAGTTCCTGTGTCCTCTCGCCTATTGCTGGCTTTCAGCTGCAGGTCAAAATTCAAAAATCAAAAATCATTTAATCATATGGGTAACACAATGTACACTTGTGACTTGTCATTAAAGAAATACATATTAATGCTTCTAATTTTACATTTAGTGCCAGTTCTCAAATCAAGGGCGTAGAACGGAAGAGATGAACTGGCAATAAACTCTCCGCCACTCTTTTTAATCGCCGTGTTTTTTTTTTATACACAACGTTTGTAAGGAGCTGCAACCATTAAACCATGTTCCACATGACATCTTAAGTAATTAATAATAATAACATAAATTAAAAACAAAGATTAGTCCTCTATTAGCAGTAGGCATGGTGAAATAGGAGCACGCACTTACATTCTCGTGGGAAACACACGCAAACACCTCCTCCACTTTGTCGATCCAGCGGTACCTAGGCCTTACTGTTATCCGGCCAGCTCTAGTAAATCTTTCACCGCCTATGCGCTGTTGTACGAAGAGAATCTCAAAACAATCTCAACCTGATAATATGCCAAATGGATGTACCATGCTTTTATAATACGTTTCAGGAGTGGCGAAAGTGCTGTGGCTCAAGTATTCGCGCCCATGTGCGATTTCGTCCCGCCAGACCACGTGACTCTATTCATCACCAACTTGTAAGTTAGCTTCATAAAGTTAAATAAATAAAAACAAGAAGTGAAACTTCTTTGGCACTAATTTTTAAGTCTTATTCATATCTATACAAATCTATAACGGAAGGAAAAAGGAGGGAGGGAAAAAGGAAGATATGTTAGGAATTGAATGAATTTAATTGTCATTAAAATAATAAAATTGTCGAAAATTAATACAAATTATAATTTCATTTATAATTTATTTCTTCGATAATAAAAACTCGTGGCATTTTAATTTACAATTCAATATTCAAATTAAATTTCTATAAGGTAATTCGCCCTTCTCACTCTCTCCATCGCTCTCAATACCTCTCTCCGGAACGAAAGAAGAACGGAAGAGAAGAACTGGCATTAAACTCTCCGTCACTCTTTTTAATCGCCAAGTTTTTTTGTTTTACACAATGTTTGTAAGGAGCTGCAACCATTACACCATGTTCCACATGACATCTTAAGTAATAAATAATAAAATAAATTAAAAACAAAGATTTATCCTCTATCAGCTGGAGGCATGGTGAAATAGGAGCACGTACTTACATTCTCGTGGGAACAACACGCAAATACATACCCGTTCACGAGTATATCACCCTTCCTCGCATATCTATCTATTTTCATTACAGCGTAAACACACAACAGAAAAATAGGGATAGCGTTGAAAAAGGGGGTTATTGAACTATTATAACTTATGTGTGGAGTCAGCTGCCCACTGAAGTATTTCGACTAAGAGACGAAGTCATAAACCATTGACGTTAAACATTTTTTTTTATTTTCAGAGGCGGAAGTTCGCCGTCATACATCTACCGTCTGCTCTCGGAATTGTATGACCCCAATGATTATCAAATATAAATTATTGTTAAATAAATATTGTTTGTTATTTGTGTTTTATTATATATCAATCGAATTATAATATTATTATTATTTATATTATTTGTGTTTTATTATATATCAATCGAATTATGAAGTAATCCCTGTATTACACAGAATTACCAATTCTCTGTCAGAAGTAATCGAAATCAGCTCAGCAATTAGTAAGTCCGAAGTTCTCTTATGCAATTTCGACATAGTTCTTGTTGATTTTTGCATTTAAGGTTTTATAACTATTAACTTAATATATAACATGAAATCAATGCGCAAAGAAAACATAAAGAGAGGTCTGTATGAATGGAAGGATAATATTACCTACGCGGTGTTGCCAGGCGATTCTTTTCTTCATGCTACAATATAAATTTATAAATGAAAATTTAATTACAATAAAATCTTAGCATAATTTGTAGTATGAGATCTTGTCATTCCGCGGCATGATTCAAGCAAAGGAAGTAAATAATTCATTGTGATTACTTGAGCTGCTACGTGCTATCTCTCACCGTTATATTTCAAAGATAGAGACAAAATATATATTAAGTACGTCATGCATGTTATAACTCGTTGCTAGCTTCAGGTCGCAACCAGTGCGTCATGTTGGCAGCATTATAATAACAATGGGCGGGGATATAAATAATTACCAGCAGCACTTCAAGCGCTAACTATTAGACGGGTCGCATACCTAGGAAAATTAAAGATATCTTCAAAAGTGTTACAGCGCTTTATTCTGTAATTCGAGTTGTGTAAAGTTTTTAATACACACCTAGTACATACTTACAATGTGTATAGTGTAAATGTGGAGTCGGTTGGGGCGCAGCTCTTTTTATCTTGATATTTTGTTTCTTTAAAACATTCTTAGTTATGTATGAGCTTATAACGATTATTTAGTGAGTGTGAATCAGTGCAATTTTGGATTTATAGATTTTTATGTATGTACCATCCGATAAAATTATCATGAATCACCTCAATAACTATGTGAACAGTGACATTGTTTAAAGTGCGCGATAACAACTCTGTCTCGGTCACCTATTTTCAAACATTCATATTATAGTGTATATAGTCCCTTATAAATTTATGAAATCCAAGTTTTTTTATATAAAATCAATACTAAATATTGTTTTGTGGAGAACAAGAGTATCCTTGAAATAAGTCTGTTTATACCCTATTATATCATTCCCATAGCAGTCATTCTAATATAGGAACAATTACATCACTTGAATATATAAACAATCGTCATTATTTAAATTAAACACATTTGGCGGTCACATTTGTATTCGACCTAAAAAAAATTCGCCAGGTGGCGCTAGTGTCTCATTAATTTCCGTGAAGTTGTCGTGCTTGCGTTCGGATTTCAATCAGTCTGCGCGATCTTCTCGCCGTTTTAGTCATCTCAAAACAAAAGTGTAGGGCTCCGCTGAAGTCCTAATTATAATTTTTTCATTTTAATTTAATAATAGTGTCGCAGTGCAGTGTATTTGTGGTTTTCTGTGTTTTTTGATCGTTGGATAGCGTGGCATCGCCCGCAGCTTCGGCGCAGATCGATAAATTTGGTACCTATGGCGCAAGCAGAATGAGTCAAGGGGGTTCTCGTCGGCCCTACTCACGCGGTGGCCCGCGTTGGCACCCTCGTTACAAGGACTATTGGGACTACGAGCAGAGTTATAGGTAAATTGCAAAATTTCACTCTTATCCGTAAGACTCATGCATAGTTGGGCGCTTACGGAACGTATGACGTTATATGGTAATTAACATTAATGGTAGCGTGCCTTCTCATCTTGATAAATATTTACTAGTGCCGTGCTGTACATTGCAATAATCATAGTGAATAATAAAATATAACGAATGATTATTTTTATCACAGCCTGTCACGTGTGGCATAGTCGTTTACTTACAAATAAAGATACAATACATGCATAAATTTCTTGATCTATACTTTTTGTATTTAGCTTCTATCGTGTTTTAGTGCACTTATTTCTTTAGATCTATTAAGTAACTAGTCTGAATTATACCATCATGTAAGATGAAATAGATAAGTTTTTCTATCCATTCTTAGAATAACTTGAAAAAGTTACAGCTGCAACTGAAATAATTTCTTACAATCATAAACAACAAATAGCTAAAATAATTGTATACTGAAACAAGTGTGACATAAGATGCTTCAAGATTGGAGCACATGATTATGTAATTTTAAATAACATAATATACTTGTATATCAAGAAAGATTATTTAATAGTGGAGATTTCACATTACACTTTACATAATATCATCACACATAAAAAGTTATGCTTATTGTTGAAGGAAATATTATGAAACAACTTAACTGTGCTGGCATGATTCAGAGTTGATATCAAGCACTAAGTAATTGTCCAGTATACATACCATATGTCAATATCTTGTTGGATTTGATATGTAAGTCAAACATAGCACTTAAGTTTGCTTTTGGTGCCCATGGATAATTAATTAGATTTTTCATCATCATTATCTGCTAATTAGCAATAGCAAAGTCCTCGAAGATGGATTAAATTATACCATATTCAAATGTACATAGGCATCTATTAAATGTTAACAACCAAGAAACCCATGATTGACAGTGGCATGTGGACTTGAACCAATTTAAATTTTATTTTTTATTTATTTAAGTTTTATACTACATGATAATTTAAGGCAATCAAGTTGCTGAGGATCTTAGGGCAACAAGATGCAGGGGATAGCCAGGAATTTGTCAGGGCCTGCTAATGGCCCATACATACTGCTGATGACCCATTATTATTAAAAAGCTAAAATATGAACTAAAGCATATAGTTTTGGAATCTAATAATGTGCGTTGTAATATTACACATAATTAAGTTTTTAATTTCCATATATATTATATGTATGCCTGTTGTGTATCAGTAAACATTAAACCTTCAAACAGTGCCTTACACAAGGACTTTACACAAGTGTGGTGTGTTTGTAGAACTGAATATAGTTAAATGTAATTTAAAAATGTGACTATCAAATATTATAAATGGAGAAAGGGTTTCGGCACATAGATACTTTACTAGTATTCACAGTGTATACTCATTAAGCATGAAATGGGTCTCACTTGGGGTGTGTGAGGTCTAAATTAATTCCTTAGTTATGATTTGACACCATAACCCTATAGTTTCTAATTCATATAGTGGTAGATGTGTTTGTTCTCAACCTATTTATGCATAGGGCATACTAGCTATGCTCCAATAGATTTTTCTTTACAAAAGTGCGTATAGCTTGTATGGCAACCTTAGACCCACTCGAAGCAGGTCAGGCACAGAAGGCTGATCACCAAGAAGTTTTTATCCATATATCATTTTAACAGATAGAGAAATCTAAAGCCAAGATAAAGTTTTGTATCACCACTGGGTGTCTGTAATCTATGTTGATGAATCAGTTGTATGTTCTATATTTTATGACATGTGTCATTTGAGTCACTGGCCGTGCACAAAGAAAAGAAAACAATAAGCCACAGCTCATCAAGCGGCGTAGATTATAGAAGGGAGCAAAAAGTATGATACAAACGAGGCGAAAAAAATGTCAGTCGACATCCGTGTGCACTATATTTAGGGCGTCGGGACGATGAACCCGAAGGTCGGTTTACCTGCGCCGGCGATGGGTTGTTTTTGCTCAGACAGGTTGTGGGTTTGCCATACACATTTTATATCACTCGCCCGGGACTGCTAGCGCTTTATTTATACTTAGTTACATTAAAAGAAAAATGATAACATAAAAATTATAAGAGATGTAACATGCCTTATCGATTACAAGCGATATCTTCTAAGCAACCCTAGGAAAAAACTAAAAAAAGAAATATTAACGGTAAAGTACAATAAGGGCATAACCAAATTAGCAAAAACAAAATTACAAGTGGCACTGGAAAATTATAAAATTACCAAACTATCTAAAATAATACCGAAATTTTAAGCTTGACTCACGGATTCATGAATTACAATGCAAAACAAAAAAGGCTAAGAATTACAAGTCACGATTGAACAGGAGGTATTTAGAACTTTCGGTATTTGAATTGATAATAGAACTAAACAATTTATAAAGCAGATGAGTTTGGCTGTAGAAAGCAGATATAGCGAGGAAGGTCATACTCTAAAGCAGTGTTTCCCAACGTGGGGCCCAAGCCCCACAGGGGCTATTCCAAGATTATTATTATTCCTATCTGTTTACAAGTTTCTTAAGTGAGCAGTTAAATTTTAGATATTTAAAATTATGTATGTTACATTTGGGGCTTCAGAATTTTAGAAAGGCTAAGGTGGGGCATGGGACAAGAAACGGTTGGGAAACACTGCTGTAAAGCATAGCATAAAATCGGAGAGTTGATGGTTTAATAAAGGTGTAGGAATGTTTAATTGTTATATTATATGGGGGTAATTCTGACGCGTATGACTCCTGTATACATATATTGTTATAGGTCTCTCTCACTCTTAGTGAGTGATACTGAAGCTAAGTGCAGTTTTAGCCAAGTAGTTAAATCGTGAGACTCAACTTTGAGGTTGCGAGTAACCCTGGCGCTCACTTCTGTTAAACCAATGCTAGGCGTATTTTAATGGAAATCTGGTCACGGGTCAGCTTAAAGGTTATTTTAATCGGCTTTAAATTCGCTTTAGCTTGCTTATAATAACTTACTAATTTATCACTTAATTAAATGGTATCTAGGGTAATGTTGGCCAGGTCATACACACTCGCCATTCCCTGTCAAATTATTTTACCTACTTGAAACGAGGTAAAGCTAAATATATATATATAATGTTTTTTTTTTATTTTCAAATTTAAAATCATTTATTCATTTAGGTAATACAATGTACACTTATGAACGTGATTAATAAATATACAGTATATTAAATGCTTCTAATTTGATATTTACTGCCTGTTCTCAAATCAAGGGCGTAGAACGGACGAGAAGAACTGGCAATAAACTCTCCACCACTCTTTTTAATTGCCAAGTTTTTTGTTTTAAA